TTGTGGGGTTTAGGGTTGGGGTTTCGGGGGTTTAGGGTTGGGGTTTGGGGGTTTAGGGTTGGGGTTTAGGGTTTGTAGGGTTTAGGGTTGGGGTTTTGGGGTTTGGGTTTGTAAGGTTTAGGGCTGGGGTTTGGAGGTTTAATGTTTGTAGGGTTTAGGGTTGGGGTTTGGGGGTTGGGTTTGTAGGGTTTAGGGTTGGGGTTCCCAGATGCCGATTTCTCAAAAAGCTGTGTCCTGTTTGCGTGTGCTGAGTCGTGGGGATGTACCAGGTGCATGTTAAGGACCTGCATGGTGATTGCGTGTGCTGAGTCGTGGGGATGTACCAGGTGCACGTTAAGGACCTGCATGGTGATTCATATGGTCCGTCGACATTTTGACGGTGTCCTTTGTCGGGTCCGGAGTGTAAGCTTGCACCTACAACTTCAGATGTGACTTGCGCCCCGTTTGCTGGATCATGTGTTCGGGGCTTCTGAGACCGGCTGTACCTTCTGGGGTTCCTCCCTGTAGGGGGTCCCATGTTTGGGACATGGCGTATGAGGCCCACAAAGCATGAAAACTACCATGTGACCACCGTGTATAAAAGGAACCCTAAACCAAACACTCCTAGACCCTAAACCCTAAACCCCCAAACCCTAAACCCTAAACCGATGTAGCGCTACTGATCCATCCAGCCGACCTAAGCCCTCCATCCCTTCAACCACCCAGCGGCGTAGGCCCAAAACCCAAAACTTGCCGGGTGACAATTCCCTCCCGCTCATGGTTTAGGGTTTAGGGTTTAGGGCTTAAGGTCTAGGGTTTAGGGTTTAGGGCTTAAGGTTTAGGGTTTAGGGTTAAACCTCCCCACCCCCCCTACTGTCAAATATGCACCAAAAACTATAATGGGGAAGATTTAATATTGGGGGGGAGGCTTAATATTAGGGGGAGGGGATTAGTAGATTAGTAGAGCATTTCGAAAGAATGGAAAGGAAGATGAGCATTACGATAGTGTTTAGATTTAGCGGCGCTACTAAGACGATCCATCCTCCACTCCCTACGAAAAGTTAAAGACCTCTACTCCTTAACGCTGTAGTCCCTTACAGGTTTTTTTTCTGCATTATAGTATGTTACTTTTATGAAAGGCTACTGAGAATGCTTTTGTGGTTGGGCCTTGTTGTATGAATTTTGCGGGGCTTGTCAGGTACGGCCTAGAACCAGTACGTATAAGCCGTAAACCCCAGACCCTACAAATCCCAAACCCTAAACGCTATGAACCCCAAACCCTACACGCTATAGATCCCACACCCTAAACCCTAAACCCTAGACCGAAGGCAAGGAGGAGGAAGCTCGGGAAGTTTGGCGCAAGCTTCTCAAAAGGTTGCAGGCCGTGCCTCGCCTCAGAGCTACTAAGCGTTGTGCGGTTTAATGGTTTAGGGATCCCATAAAGTGAAGGGGTGGAGGAAATCTAAGTCGGGTCTAGGGCAGGGTCTAGAGTTATACACCTTATACTGTCGGGAGTCGTACGTAGTGCAACATTTCCTCCATCCGGCGCAGTATGAAGCTACCACTGTGTGAAGAGTGCTACCTGAATAGCAAAGCAGCCAGAAATAAGATGGACTCCTAGATAGACACTAAGAGGCCTTAGTACATACTGCATCGAAACGTTGACCATCAGTCGCATCAATTTGGTTTCGCTGCTTATCCTCGACTAAGGAAGTTGAGAAAAGTTGGTATACCTATACTATAAGGGACCTTAGGGGACCGTATGGCGTCCTCCCCGACTGTATAGTTGTAGTAGTGCTATATTGGCGGGCCGCAAACAGGGTACCCCTAATTTCGGGAAACCCCCAAGTGTTTTGTGGCAACCCGTTTAGGACGGAGTTAGATTTCTGTTATTTGGACCAAGTTCTGAAGCCACACCTTGAGCGGGCCTTTCACTTGATTTATGCCTTGCCGGTGACAGTTACCACAAGAAATACTAGGAGTTATAATCGGCGTTTAATAACACCCCCTTAAGGACAGTTACTGCGAGGGGGGATGACCCAATCTATAGATCGCCTGTGGCACCATGAAGTATCGTTTGAGGGCTTTTATAGAACCTGCTGAGTATGACGCCTTGGACAGCTTTGGGGGAATGGGACGAGAGGTCAAGCGTGTTCAAGGCACAGATGCCGTCAGAAACGGTCTGCCAGCTATGGCCAGAAGGCCCCTTAAACCCTGAACCATAAAGCCTGACGGCAATAAGTGTGAACAGAAAGCGTCTCGAGCCTTCGCCAAGTATTAGTTTATTACTATTCGTAGTACTACTACTACTACTACTACTACTCCTACTCCTACTACTACTAATGTTATTACTAAAGGACGGCCTGTCTTTGGTGCACTTCAACACCAACTTCGCGCAGAAGGAGGACTTGTACAAGGCCAGCCCATGGTAGTCACTTCCTACCAGGACCCTCCTTGCACCCTTAATTGGGGATATATGGTCCCTAATAGTAGGTACATAGGCCCTAACAGAGGGTAGGAGGAGGGTCTAGGTACTTTGGGGTTTAGGGTTTAAGCGGGTTTAGGGTTTAAGCCTGGTAGTGCGCACCCTCCTGCCCCTGATACTGTTGATACCAAAAATCCTGCATGACCTTAATGTACTGGCACTATAAGGTATAAGGTACCTATGGTCATGTAGGAATTTTAGTATCCACCATATTAGACATTCCAATAAGACAACCTATATATGTGGCGACGCGTTGCATATTAAGTTAACCTCCCCCCCTATTTGCCTGCACCAGTGCCCACATAATTGAAATGTGCTGTAGACAGCAGTGTGGACGCGCTCGTTACACCGGAGGTCCTGCAGGCAAATAGGGGGGACTGGAGTCAAGGGGGCGGTGGGGATGTTTAATATACGTATCAAGGGATTATGATAAATGAGTTTCCATTGAGAGTTCCGTGTACCAGGCCAGCTTGGGGCAGCAGCAAAGCTCAATGGGGCTTCAAGAGAGGAATGCACCTTTTTGGGGGATGCATGGTTTAGCGTTTAGGGTTTAGGGATGCATGGTTTAGGATTTGGAGGAATCATTTGATAGCAAGCTGATGAACATACGAGAGCTTCTCTTCCTTGAAGAACCGTCTTCCCGGAGGGTTCTTCCAAGGAAAGCTTTTGACAGCCTTGTACAACCTTGAGATAAGTAGCCATCGGGGTTATACGCTATTGCAGCTTGGCAGTTCTTATCGGGGCCCACAAAAGCCCTAGAACCCTAAGCCACCCCTATGGTAGTGCAACTTTGTTGTACATTCCCTACTACCTGGACCTCTTAAGATCCTCCAAAAACTAAAAATACGAAGATTTCACATACCCCCAATTTGTCTAGAATAGTGGCCTATGCGGCTCTTTCATGGGTTTGGGTGGCATTATTCTGCCTACCTCGAGCTCCAGGTAGGCACCAGAAAGTGCTTGGGCTTTTTCAGGTTGAGAGTTTAGGGTTTGGGGTTTAGAGTTTAGGGTTTAGAGGTTTAGGGGTTATGGGCAGAGGTTAAGGTTTAAGGTTTGGGCTTTGAGAGTTTAGGGAAAAAATGTTGGACAACCTTGCGAGGCGAATTTGCAGTGGGATGTCGAGGCCTTCGAAAAACGCTGCGAGGGCTTGGAGGAGGCTGCGGATGGGGTAAAGGAAGGTGGGGTTTAGGGGGTTTAGGGTTTAGGGCTTAGGGATTTAGGGTTTAGGGTTTAAATTAGGTGTTTAGGGTTTAGGGGATAAACTCCCGAATGCTTTGGGGCTTTGGTTCAAGGCTCAGGATTTAGGGTGAGAATTTCTTACTCTATTAGCAAAACTCCACGCTCCCTCACTGAACCTTTTCACTCGACAACTGCAGTCAACTTGAGAACATCGATTATTTTGGGGGTAGGGGGGTTCATAATGGAATGGTAAGGGTTAGCAGGGACTGACTACGACTGAAGCAGTGGACTATGCAGTTTGTGTTGGGGTTACTTAGTACTACTTGGTGAGAGACTTATTACCACTAGTGAGAATTACAAGTAAGAGCCTAGTCGTCCAAAGGGTGTTTGGATGGTTCAGTTGGGGGGCTTCAGGGCTGTAACCCGAGGTTTGCCAGTGCGCGCTAGCAATATTGACTCCACTCAAGAGTGATGTCAAAAAGATCCAGGCGATGTGAACGCTTCGGCGATTTCAGGGCAGAGTTACAGTTTTGGGGGGAGGGATCTCAAATTGGCGTTGGGTACATGAGCTCTCCATGAAGAAATACAAGTAAGGCCTGGGGCTCAACACACGACGCGTCCACTGGTTGATGTTTCGTACCTATGTACACATCAGTTGGTCTTAGCAGACTCATTGTCTCCGTTCTGGGAAGCATTTGGGTTTAAGGCTCTGGACTCTAGGGTGCTCAATTTGGCTAGCACATCTGATACGTAGTAGAAGCTTACGTTGATGGTTGGTGTGGTGTGCCTCGGGAAGTGTGTTTTGCTTTCTACACCATTTGTTGTCTACGCGCAGTCTGTGCAGATGTTAGTGCAGGCAGTATCTGGTTTCCAACATGTTGATAACACAAGGTGTTTATTTGTTGCATGTCTATGTTGCTAAACTTTCCGCGGGCCTTACTTCAGGCGCGTGCTCACGAGCCTTACTTCAGGCGCGTGCTGGACCCAGAAGAGCACCTCAAACGCTGGACCTTTCCTTAGACCCTAAGCCCCATACTACCCTAGGCTCTAAACCCTAAACCTTAAGCCCTACGCCCACCTTTCGCTCGTGCGTGCCTGCCAGAGGCTTTGCAAGACAAGCTGCTTTCGATCGTACGCGCGAAGCCCAGCGGCTAGAGGGGCCTCAAGGTTGTCAGGTTTAGGGATTAGGGCTTAGGGGAGACACGAGTGAAAAAGGTGGAAGTGAAATGGACACCCCATGTCCATCTAAAGGGATATACAGGTCTCAGGGTTAGAAGTTGGGAGGGCTAGTGGGGCTGCCCACGTGCAGGAAGTACCTCAAGCAGACCTGTTACATTGCGTTTTCCCAGTGAGCTCACAGCAAGTTCACAGCATGACAGCAAGCTTGGAGTAGTGATGCATACAGCTCCATAAAAATTATAGTAACTTAAAATCAGTTCCTTTACAACAGCCCGGTGGAGGTTTTGAGGTGTCAGGACTAGGCCCATGCCTCAACACATTTGCAGACTCCCGAGTCAGCACATGCTGTCTGCAGAAAGATGTTGCTGCCTCTAGCTGCAAACAGTCCTGATGATAGCTGGCTTTCAGGCATGCTTGGTACAAATGCAGACTCCAGAATTGGAGGCGGACAGCTAACCTGTGAAGCTGAACAAAAACAAAAGGGAATTTGGGATGTCTTTGTGTAGGTGGGTTAGGGAGGTCATGAAGCCAGTGCCATGCTTGTAAGGCACAGTGTTCGGCCCAGTGTATTCTAGGCCGGCCCCTCCTTATGCCCAACGGCCGTTCCTCTCCAAACAATTCTCCGGTGCTCTCAAAGGATGACCAAACAATTTCAACTGTGCCCTGTGGATGTGGTGTGTGAGAGGGGGCTGTGAGGATTGCTCGCGCAATTCCTGATTCGAAGTTACTATATTAGTGAAACCATATTAATTTACATAGATATATATACACACACACCCATTAATAGGGGGTTCTGATTGGTAACCCCCCCCCTGGCAAATACGATTCTGAATAGTCCAGGGGTCCCCAATCAAATGTCGGAATATTTGTTTGGGGGGTGGGGGCCGGCCCAGGCCTGAAGCCTGAGCCTTTAATTCAACTTAAACCCCGGAAATGGAACCCTAAACCTTGAACCCCGATCCGCAAATCTTGATGAAGTCCTCAACCTTAAACTCTTACTTAGCCCCTGAAGCCTAGCCTTTAATTGAACTGTAAACCCTTAGCCCTAAACCCTCGAAACCCTAAGAGCTCCAGCCCTAAGGCTTGGTATATCTGGAATTGAAAGCATCTTCTTCTTTTGCAGATTCTGGGTCCATGCCTGCCAGGCCCTGATTATTCCGTGCCCTTTTTTATAGCCATTATTCCGTTCCGGCCGTCTCGGTATAGTACCCCTGAGCAGAAATGATTGCCTGGGTTGTTCGAATATGCGGTCTCATCAGAAATCGACAGTTGCTGGCGTGATCAAAACCTGAGAATCGGAATGGAATTGCTTTCTGGCGAAAAAGCTTTGAGCAATTAGGTGTGAGATCCATAGGCCTAAGGCTTGGGATATACTTATCTGCAATTTAAATCGGCAGACAGCCTCGGGCATAAACTCTGGCAATGTGTTGGGGCCTGAATGATTATTAACGTTAATTTGAATTCTATTCGGGTAGCTTATACCCTGCTCATACAAGGATTCAAGGATCACCATGTCAGTCATTGTGTCGGCCCCTACATTACCTTTCTGCTCCCAAGCCATCTGTTCAGCCTAATCTGCTTGAGTGGCCAGCCGTAGGCAAACGTAGCCCTTGGCTTGCGTATCGCAGAGCACGGAGAGCTCATGACACAAGGCCTGTTCCGTTCTACACAAGGACGACGCGAATCAATAAGTGAGTGACAACCATGGACCACGGCAGCTACAATCTCGCTGAAGTGCATACAACCGTGACAGAAAAAAAAGGTATTATGCTGATTAATTCTCTCATTGGCTTTCTTATTACTACTTCTAATCACGATAATCAGAATACGAATAACTATTAGAATACTGTTGGGATTACTGTCGATATTTTTTGGGCTGTTAAAATAGCTGCCAGCTTCGAAGCTTATTTCCAGTGCGGTCGCCGCGTTGACGTGTTTGTTGAGCAAAGGTGCTGTGCGTCGCATGGAGAATTCATCAGAGCCTTGACTGATTCCAGCAATTATCAATGGGGCTTAAGGTTTCCGAGGTGGTTGAGAAACAGCCTGTTGGATTTTGTGAATAACAGGATGGGAAGAACATGCTGAAGCAGATTTGCACACTCTATAAGATTGTTGCCTTACGAATCACCAGAGATGCTGCCCAGGAGGTCTTTGAATAACACATCCCCAAACAAAGTGCCTCACTCCCAGCAGCGCCCGAGCATGAACTATAGACGGCGCGGCATACAATTAAGCCATAAATGTTCAGCTCCCGCAAGCCGGTACATGAAACCTGGCTGGGTAGAAGCCCGCTGAGACTTGAAGCATCCTCCACACTTCGTTACATCGTTACGGTAGAGTAGACCACAGAGCCTGATCATCGCTGACATGTACCAGAAAACGCAGTCTTGATAGATAATGAAAGGACAGAAATACCTGGCCTGTACTTTTCTGAAGACTGTGGAATGAAAAAATGAGTATTGGGGAAGCAGAGCCATCAGCCGTGGTACCGGTACTGCAATACTCAACAGAAAGCTAGTACTATTGACCTGCAGACAAATGCCTGATCATTGCTTAATGCCTTCTACATCTCCCCAAACCTTAGAGCTCTAAACGCTGGAACCTAAGCCATAACTCTACAACCCTAAAACCTTAAACCTTAAACCCTAACCCTTGACCGCCCAAGCAATTCTGCCTGCCTTCCGCCCAGGACTGGCTCCTGTCCTGGGCCGAAGAGACGACCCGGAAATTCGGGGGCGGCCGACTGATAAGCTGCTCGGCGAAGGAAAGTGAGGAGATTCCAGAAATTGGGAGTTCCGTCTGCTTTAGGGTTTACGACGGTTTAGGGTTAGGATTGTAGCGGTTTTTTTTTACAAGTCTGCCCTGTGGGCCTCCAATTTCTGTGATTGACATTGAGGGATTGAAGTGCAAGGATTGATGGATTAGGGGTTCAGGGGTTGTCCGATTCACTGTTGAGGCATTTCCCCAAATGAGGAGAGCAACAGGCTCGTAGTTCTGCTGTTAGTATGCCAGCTTAGTTTGGCGCATGAGTACTTCTAAAGGAAAATAAAGCCCTCCCATACAAGATCATCCCAACCCTACACCCCAAACCCTAAACCACGTTCAAAGAGCCTCTTGCGTTCTCATACAAGGAAACGCGGATGTCAAGGGCTTCGAACGGCTTATCACCTATCATTCACAGGGTACAGGGCTTAGCTGTATGATTACTAATCTCATGGTGGTTGTCACCCTCGTGGTCTTTTAGCTGTGTGCAAGTTTTGGAGCCACACCCAGCGTCTCATCTGGGCATGTGAACTTGCCCCGGATTCATTTCACAGCTTCCTCGGCCCCAAGCCCTGAACCATGTGCATGACCTCTTGACCCCTGCCATTTCAATGATTTCTCATTTTTGTGAAATATGCTATGAGGTACAGAAGTACACAGCACAGGAGAGTCAAGGGTAGTGGGCTCAAATCTTGCCAAGGTGAGCCTGGCACTTGTTTTTTCAAATTCTGTGGGTTTCCGAGATATTTGCCGCATTCTAAACATCCTGGTATGCAAGAGGCCCTAAATCCCAAATCCGTAACCTCATATATGCTATCAACATATAATATGTGTGGGTTTTAGGGTTTAGGGTATATTTTCACAGAAACTTGATGGACATGGATTCCTTATTAGGGAATATGTGAGGGAGTATGCTCAACTACAACTCCACCCTTAAGGGTCCGTTGGTAAGGCTGATCTTGCCAGTAGCTCATACAAGGATCCCAAGTTTCTGGAAACTCTGCGCGCTTAGATTCCCACCCTAAACCCTAAACCCGCCAAGACCCGTTTAAAGCGAACCCCAGTTTTTTAGAAACCCTAATGCTTATAGGGTTTAGGTCCCTATACATCCCCCAACACCCCTTGAAAGGGACCGCTAGTTTCGGAAAACTTCGCATGCAAACATTTTTTGGGTTGCTGTTAAGGACTTCGAATTGAATTGCTATATTCCATACTCCCCTTGGGTAGTTCCTTAGTCTTTTTGGTTTCTTGGCTTTGGGTAGTTTTACAGGAACCCCAGGAGGCTAAGTCTTTTGCTAGATTCTGAGAGGGGGATAGCAATGGGGAAACCATTTGTTTTAGATATATATATATACCCATTAGGTAACTACATTCAAGTTCCTTTTCAGCAGCTAAACCCTAAACCCTAAATGCTAAACCCTGAATCCTAAACCTTAAACCCTATACCCTAAATCCTCAATCCTAAACCCTATACCCTAAACCCTGAACCCTAAACCCTGAACCATAAACCCTGAGCCCTTTTTTCGGGAAGGCTATGGAGTGACCTACTTCGGGGCTTGGCGGGCGGCTTGCTCCTCAGTTGTGTCTCACCGCGTCCTTTTCGGGTTTAGGGTTTAGGGTAAAGGTCCAGGGATCCTAGGGTTTTAGGGTTTAAGGTTTAATATGGGGTTTATATGGGTTATATAGGGATATTGGAAAAGAAAATGGAAACTACGATGATGGCTTAAATAGGGTTTAGGGTTTGGGGTTAGGTTTTAATTTGGTGTCTAGAATCCCATGATTCCGCGTCTGCCTGAGGGATGAGGGTGTAGGTCCTAAACCCTAAACCCTAAACCCTAAAAGTTTGAGGCTCGTGAGATGATGGAGTAGGGCTTTCCCTGAAGTTGTTGAATTTTAGGGTTTAGGGTTTAGGGTTTAGGGCGTTTGTAGATGACATTAGCGTTTCGTAGTCTACCTAGCAAGATAGGGCTGTGAAGATTGAGAGCCGACTCACCAAACGGTCTTCTGCTTGAATCGCTGGCCTGCAGTCTCATTGCAGGAGGTGTCTCGACGGAATCAGTGCCTATGCTGGGGTTTAGTGTTCATTGTTAGTGTTTAGGGTTCAGGGGCGGGTAGCCGCAAACGGCAAAACCCACAATACAAGGAACAATTTTGACGAAGCGTCTGAGGCAGGACTTGTCCGATCCTTCGATCGGTCATTGTCAAGACGACGACGGTACTTCCCAACATTGGAGTTTGCACACATAGGGGGACCCTTACATTACATGCCCCAGCACACTGTAGTTCTTCTCGAGAAGGGCCTCCCAAAAGGGACCTTTTTGTTTCCTCACATAAGCATTGTGTTCAGCTTTGGCACCCTTATGGTGCCGGATGCTGATGGCATGAGGCCAAATTTGAGTCGCCGGATCCCACGCCCATCCATGCAATAATACTCGTGCTGGTCTTCTGCACTTTAATAATAGTAATCGTAGTAATAATACAAGAAAAAATAACAATAGAACAATAGCAGTAAGAAGTAAGGTAGGAATAAGAATTCAGTGGATTTGTGAAAAATGTAGTGTGCGAATGCAGAATTCAATCAGCATCCTGATAGGTTCAGGAGGCTTGCGAGGCCGCTTGTGGTAAGACTTCAGTTTAGGGTTTAGGGTTCAACCGCGAATAATCGCGAATCCCTGTGAAATGTCTAGTCTACACCTTTCCTGGCAAAGGCCAAGGGTGTCGAACAAGACCTAAACGTCAAGCCTTACTGGGCAGAGCTCCCATTACCTAGAACATAAGGAAGGTGGTCAAAACTGTTGTCCCGTTTTGGATACTCTACACATTAGGGGCCGGAGGGGCCGGATTAGAATGGGGACCCAAAATGGGACCATAATTTTGACGATCTGCCATAAGATTCCCCAGGTCATCAAATCTGACGAAGGCCTGCTGTGGCCTTCACCTGAACTTGCCTTTGGTTAGCTAGGAATGAAGAAATGGATCCTTACAGTAGTCCCTATACAACCCATTATAGTAGTTTCCATGTTCTTTGTCCATTCCTTCATTCCCAGCTCACCAAAGCTGGACTTGCTGGTGGAGAGTAGGGAATTGAGAAATGGCATGGATCCTCTCAAAAGGCATGTCTTCATGCCTTACTAACCACCAGCAAGTAAACCCCAAACCCGAAGCCCCAAACTCGCATAAGACTTATAGTCTAAACTCCTAGTATCCCTGTTAATACCTCTCTAAAAAACCCTCTAGTAGTCCCCTACATAATCCCCTACGTAACCCCCTTTCAGGAGTTTAGATGACAGTTCATAAGACTCTCAAACCTACCCAAAGCAGGTCATCAGTGACCCCATGGTCATTGTGCCCGGGCTTGCTTAGACCTCTGCTGCCGCTGCATTTTGTCCCTTCAAAGGGATGCTTCAGGGATTATGTGGGGGTGCATACGTTTAGGGGATCTGGAAAATCAAATGGAAAGGACATTGGAAAATGAAGTGGAGCTGGGTTTATATAGGAGCTGCTTGGGATGAATGTAAATTTGATGGCCATTCCTCGCATAATTATGGTAATCCTTTCCCCCAATATTACCCCCCCCCAATATGAAATACTCGCAACATGTTGTAATGTACCACAATGGGAAGTATTGAATATTATGGGGCGGGGAGGTTTAATACTAGGGGGAGAGGATAACAGGGTACCTCAGACAGACCTAGACATGATGTTGGTAATTGCTTATCTAGGGTCTTACATTACTCTCCGCCAAACCTTAAATCCTAAACCCTTTGGCGTTGAGGCAGGGCAAGCTGCCGTAAGGAGAGAACACCCACGATAGCTTTCGAACACATGGGCTTCATTTGAGCTATAGTCTAAACTCTTTAGAGGGGATTATATAGGGGATTACTATAGGGCTTTTTGAGGGGGATACTAGGGATTTAGACTATAGCTCATTTGGGATTTCTCACGCTGGGGTACCTTTAGAAATCTCAGGGATATATTGGTGTTAGCAAGGATTGCCCATGCCCTTCTTAAGTGTCAGAGACTCTGAGCACGGGTCAAGGCGCTGACTAGTTCTAGGCACAGAGGAAAACCTTAAACCCTAAACCCGAAAAAACCTAGTCCGCGTAAATGAGACTGAACATCCTTCATCCCAAGGCCTAAACCCTGACCCTAAGGGTTTAGGGTTCAGGGTTTAGGGTTTAGGATAAACCCTCAACCCTACACCCCAGGCCCCCAAGAGATAGCGGCTCCGGTCGCGCAAGGCGCGGCTAAGCAAGGCATCTTTTTTCAAACTCCGTACTGCGAACTGCGCATGAGGTAAGGTTTCATGATAGGTTTCCGACGGGGCGTGGGAAGGATTATCGAGTTTCAGTAGGGAAGCAGGATTTGTGATTCCTAAACCCTAAACCCTAACATAGTAGTTTCCATTTTCTTCTCCATCATCCCTATATAACTTATATAACCCCTATATTACCAGGGGGACCCTAATTGCTGGGGTATAGGGAGTTAGGCTCCAGTGACTGCATTCTAGGCGCACTGAATTTTTGCAAGTTCATGTATGAAGCGGCCAGTTGGCTAGAGCAAAAAGTTAGCACCCTACCATGCTTGCAGCCCTAAACCCTAAACCCTAAAGGCTTGCAGGTCCAAAACCCTGCATCCTAAGCCCTAAGCAAGACACCGAAAGCTGAGGAGGCCATGAAAAGCTCGAAAGAGCCCATGGTGATGTTGGTGGGAAGCGCGCTGGGCCACTTGCTGGCTTTTCAGGATATCGGGTGAAAGGTTTTTGTCCCGGGAGATAGGCCTAAAAATCCAGAAGACTGCTTTTAAAAGGGGTCACCCAATAATGAATTAAGGTGGTTTTTGAGAACATTAGGGGGTATAAGAAGAAATACGAAGGAAAGAGGGATCCTTCATTTCCTAGGTTTTGACGGTTTTTCATATGGTTTTCATGAAGGATCTTGTATACAAGAACTGAATGTGATTTTACTTGGCTTCATTACCATTTCAGCCGTATTTAATTGGGGATGAACGAAAGTTCAAGCTACCATTTAAAGTTTCGGCATACCTTCGCATTTCTGGTGGAATCAGGTCCTAGCTCTCATCCTTGTAGCGACTGATGTGTACATTTCAGTCTTTCACAACTTTTGGAGCTACGTAGCGCCTTGCGATGACCGGGGGGCATTGCGACTCAAAAGTTCGTGAGGTAGTGCAAACAGCCAAGTGTTGGGCCTAGAGCTCCTGCAAATGAACATAATATGGTAATATTAGGGTTTAGGGTTTAGGGCATAATATGGTCACACACGTTAGCAGGTGCAGCTGGCCAGGAGGTCTACAAAGCACGTTCAACATGAGAGCAGCTTCCATTGCGTTCCCTGCTAGGGGAAGGGATTAACTCCACACACTAGAGATACACATATATATATATGTATATATATATATATAGTATAACCCCTTTATTACCCCCAATAATCCCTGTAGTTTCCATTTTCTTTTCCCTTACCCCTATATAGCTTAATATATAATCAGGTTTTCCTTCGGCTCCATGGTTTTCTAATTTGCCACAGCGGCTCAGCAAATGATCCATGCAGGCTACCTCCAGCGTGCTATTGACAACCCCCCAACCAGGGTTTAGGGTTTAGGGTTTAGTGTAGATCGCAAAAGTATTGACGGCATGTGGCCAGTAAAATCTGAATCCCGCCAGGTCAAGACCTTTGCTTAATGGTGGTTCCATTGGAGAGGAAGGGATCTGCTGTATAGGTTGTATTCTACTATAGGACTACCATAGGTAACCACGTAACAACCCTGTAGAACTGTCCTCATATGCCATACTCCTTGAAAAATGGATGGATCCCTACAATAGCATCCATATCCCTACTCCCTAAACCCTAAACCCTAGAGACTCTTAGGCTACCAGTGCGCGTTTGCCCTCAGCCTCGGCTTCGAAAGATGTGTTGGCTACGATCTGCTTTGCCGGCACCTTATGCGGTTTAGAGTATAGGGCACCTCCCCCCATACAAGCTTTACATAGCCATTATGTAGTCCGCATGTCCCCATCTAAGCCTTATATAAGCCTGACGTACGGCTGTAAGGGTACCAACTTGGTAGCCCTTCCCTGAAAATTCCCGTAAATGAGTGGGAAAGGTAATGAAAATCACTATGTGGGGTTCTGGGCTTAGGTTTAGGGAATGGAAAAGAAAGTGGCAACGAGTAAGTGGAGAATCAACTGCAAAAGTACATGGAAAACGGGATGGACACCATCAATCTTGGGAGTAGATAGGACCCGAACCCCCCTGAGCCCCAAACCCTAAACCCCTAAACCGCTATAGGGTCCATTCCTCCATTCCCTACTTGCAACCAAGGGTACCTTGGGAATTTTAGGGATATGCAGCGATCATGAGGATAAAAAAAAAAAGTGTAGGGTTTATGGAGCGTTTTTGGTAAACTCCTAACGATGGAACAAACGAGTGTTTCAAACTTGGCGGATGATGTACAAGGCCAGCACCTTTTTGCTCGCAGCCTCTAAACCCTGAACCATGAGACCCATGTACATTGAGCAAGTTTCAGAGTCAGGGTTCCAAGGGTTCCTCTTAAACACATTAACCCCAAACCCTAATCCCCAAGCCCTCGCCTGTAGGCAGTTGTGTTAGGAGTTTAGGGTGCTACGATGATGCCACGGAGTTTTTCTGGACGGAGTGTAACACCTAAACACTGAACCCTACATTCTTGATGGTGTGGAAGCTCCTTTGCTTGTCCTGTTTTGGTAGCGGATCTAGCTGTTGAGTGGTCAAAATGAGGGTGCTTTCTCAGGTACCCTCAATATCTGAGGCTGTATTAAACGAGGAGCCTCAAAAAGGCCATAGTTTTAACAATCTACCGTATCATGTTCTTACTGAAGTGGTTCCTGGGTTAAGAATATCCAGGACGTCCTGCCTCACGGCAGACCTTTTTCGAATGGCATCTTCCCCATGACTCGGGCGCAGACATCCGGATGTCATGATGGCTCTTCTAGGCTTTCTTTTTTGCGCACTGAGTTCCTAGACGGCCACAGCTCTCAGATTCAAAACCTTCAAAAGCAGATCCTTGGCCTTTGAGCAGTACAGAGGCCTAAAAAGCCAAGCTTTGACCTACGCGCTGCAAAAGCTGCAATTCTTTGGGCTTCCAAAACAGCCGAAACCCTATACCAATAGAAAAAGCTTTCATGGGGGCCCATGTAAGTGGGATTAAGTAGGATTACAATATATTCAATATATTGGCGTAGATCAAGTCATCTTGGAGATCCTTATATGTATATATATATATATACATTACGTGGACCCCCTCCTTGCAATTGTCACTATAAGGGATAATGGTAATTATATTAGGGTCCTTATATATTCCCAGTATACCACTATCAGTGGCCCTGTATATACCCTAAACCCTAAACCCTGAACCCTAAACCCTAAACCCTATATATATATATATATTTGTAATTGCTGAGTCCCAGCTGCGCCTAAGGCGACAGCATGGTCTCTCCATCGCAGAAGCTGGTGGAGGAGTGCGATCTTACGGCAAGCCTAGACCCTGAACCCTAGACTCTAAATGGGGATTGTCCTAAATTACTGTCAATACGGGGTCCTATATTTGGGTTCCTATTATAATACGGGGCCCTATATAAATTTCCCCCATTTTGGGAACAGTAATTTAGGGAAACTTCCATATAGTGGCGTATAGAGTTTAGGATCGCCTGTAGTCCCCTCAGTATGTGTCTTAC